AAACTTTAAGACAAACAAGATGCTTGCTGTAAATAAACCACATCCCAAAATTTACCTGAGATTCACAGTTCACATCTACTGTATCTTTTGACTTTCTGACACTTCTGACTTTGAACATGCAGCTGAAAAATGTAGGAGTGTTTTACACAGTTGGATGCTGCCTTCAGTAGGTGTGGCTTATCCAACACTAACCACTCCTGCCTCTGAATTCAAAATGAGCCACATCTCTCTGCTAAGAACTTTCACTTTTTTCCTTTGTCTGTTGGAGTCAGTTAGTCTTTTGGAAGCAGTGAGTTTGTTGAGGCCTATTGCTCCAGACAATCGTGTTTGATAGTTTGCTGTAGATCTGTTAATAACTGTAAATACACAAACAGGTTTTACTCTTTCTACTATTAATGTTATTGAGACTGTAAGTGCCAGTTGGTAAGAAAAAGGGCTGGACAAAAACTAGAGAACTTGAAGCTATTGTGATCTGCTGCATGGCTAGAGGAATTCAGCCAAAACTTCAAAACTCTATACAGTAACAAAAAGTAGCCAGAGCATCAAAGTAAAATAAGGTTTAAAGGGCTAAGAGGAATTCAGCCAAAAATTCAAAACTCTATAAGAAAAAGTAGCCAGAGCATCCAAGTAAAATAAGGCTTAAAGGGCTATTTAGAGAACTGCCATTCATTCAGATCTGGGTGATTTCTTCTACCTTACCGAATCCACCCAATCTTTCTGCCATTTCCACTTTCCTCACAAGAAAAGCAAATATCACAAGCTGAAGTGTCTCACAGCATAGGATTAAACATGAATAAAACTGTGCTCAGCAACCATGTAGGTTCTGGAGACTATGACTACCTTGTTGTTTGTAAAGTATTCCAGAGGGACTGAGATTGACCTGAGCAGCCTTAATACAACCACATTATGTTAAATGGAAGCAAGTATGAAGCAAGTTCAAACAGTTCGAGACATATGTGTTCTGGGTATAGCTTACTAAGATGCTTCTCTTGTCTAGGGTAAAGTGGGTAATGACTTCTTCCCAGAGGGGCAGGTAAAGAGAAAGAGACAGTGCTGAGTTCAAACTTTTAAGTCACAAGATCTTTAAGTCACATGACATAGGATGGAGAATTAAAAACACAGCACTTAAGCAAATATACAATGGACGAAAACTCCAGTTTTTCTACATGGATAATGCACTCATCCTGATAAATGTTGCGTAAAAATATACAATGGACGAAAACTCCAGTTTTCATCCTGATAAATGTTGCTTATTTTATTGTTATCTCATTCTTCCACTGAGGACCTGGGAATGCCATCAAGGGTGCTCAGGATTCCCTAATGCACTCATCCTGATAAATGTTGCGTAATTTATTGTTATCTCATTCTTCCACTGAGGACCTGGGAAGGCCATCTGCTTCCTTCTGCTCTACGTTTTATCCTCATGAGTACCTGTGAAGTAAAGTTTTGCTACAAGAATGAACATAAATGACAAAAGATCATGCTGTGAGTTTTAAGGCAGAGGAGCGATCTGTACCTTGTTCCCTTTCATACAAACTTCATACAAACTGTAGCATTACACAAAATTAATTCTCTTCTAGAAATAAGCAGTGCTGAGAAAAGATTGCTGACTGTAACTGGCTACAGGGATCACATAATCTCCTTATTACAGCAGCTCCACTGGCTGCCAATCTGTTTCTGGGCACAATTCAAGCTGCTGATTCTAATCAATAAATTTCTTAATGGCTTATCTCAAAGCTATCTCAAAGAACATGTCTCCCATTATGAGCCTGCTCAGATGTTAAGATCATCAGAAGAGGCCTTTTTCTCAGTCCCAATACCTTCACAGGTGTGTTTGGTAGGGACATGGGAGAGGCCTTCTTTGTTGCTTCCTTCTCAGGTGTGTTTGGAGGAGCTACACTGGCTCCATCTTTATTTGCTGTCCCTCTGCAAGCAGGCAAAGAACGTTCTCTTCAGGCAAGCTTTCCCTCAATGACCAGCTGACTGACTGAGTTTTTTAAAATGGGTTGTTATGCCTTATTGCTTTTGTGATTTTATGCTAGCACTGCTTTTGTTTACAATTTCTCAGGGTGGTATTTGTTTCATCTTTTTTAATATTTGTATACTCCTTGTTTTTAGATTTACATGTTGTATATTAATGATGTAAGCCACATCAAAATTAAAAGACACCTGCTTCTTGGGAGGAAGGCGATGACAAACCTAGACAGCATCTTAAAAAACAGAGGCATCACATTGCCAACAAAGGTCTGCATAGTCAAAGCTATGTTTTTTCCAGTAGCGATGTATGGAAGTGAGAGCTGGACCATAAAGAAGGCCGACCGCTGAAGAATGGATGCTTTTGAATTGTGGTGCTGGAGGAGACTCTTGAGATTCCCTTGGAGTGCAAAGAAAACAAACCTATCCATTTTGAAGGAAATCAACCCTGAGTGCTCACTGCAAGGATAGATCCTGAAGCTGAGGCTGCAATACTGTACTTTGGCTATCTGATGAGAAGAGAAAATTCTCTGGAAAAGACCCTGGTGTTGGGAAAGTGTGAAGGCAAGAGGAGAAGGGGACGACAGAGGATGAGATGGTTGGGCAGTATCATTGAAGCTACCAACATGAATTTGACCCAACTCCAGGAGGCAGTGGAAGACGGGGAGGGCCTGGCATGCTCTGGTCCATGGGGTCACAAAGAGTCAGACACAACTTAATGACTAAATAACAACAAAGCCACCTTTCATCCATCCATCCATCCATCCATCCATCCGTTTGTTTGTTTGTTTGTTTGTTTATGTGTTTGTTTGGCTTTTACCTCACCCATCTAGATTCAAACGAATCTACTCTGGGTGGCTTACAGTCAGAGCAATATAAAACAAGAATTAAACCAGACAATATCCAAACAAAAAAGAGAAATAAGCAAAGTCCAAGATGGGAAAACACAGGGAACTAAGTGATGGGGGAAAAACCTGCCTGAAGAACCAGGTCTTCAGCTTGTTCTTAAAAACTCTCAGTGAGGGTGCCAGGTGAATCTCATGGGGCAAGATGTTCCAGAGGCAAGGGGCCACCACCAAGAAGGCCCGGTTTCTAGTTCTTTCCTTCCGTGCCTCTCTTGGCATCAAGCCCCTCAGCTGCCCAGCCTGGCTAGATCGAGTGACACGAGTAGAGTAGGTGGGAGCAGGCGCTCCGCCAGGTATCGAGATGCTAAGCTTTAAACATTGTATTTTAACGATGTGAGCTGTCTTTTAATGTTGTAAATTATCTTGGTCCTTTTTAAGGAGATAAGTGAGATACAAATATTTTAAATAAACTAATATATAATTTTTGAGAATGTAACTCCCAGAATGCCCTAGTCAGCATGGCTAGTAGGCATTCAGCCAGGAGGGATTCTACATAAACCACTTTGAGTAGTGTTTCCACTAAGTCGGACACCCAGCAAGCAAGCAAGCAAAGAAGAGTTGCAGTAAATAGAAGTTTCTAAATTCTGAAACAAGTTTTGTTGAAATTTGCAAACTCACTGTTTTCAGAATTTAGACCTCTAGAATTCTGTTTTATAAAATTCATTTCAGATAATTGTGCAGTTTATGGTAAGTTTAACAATTTAGAGAAGTCATGAAAATGACAAGAATTTCAAGTATGTTTGAGTTAACTACTGCAGAGCAGAGCAAGTAGACAGGAATATTTGGACTATTGGCACAATGCTTACACAGCATACTGTACAATACACCAGTCTTACTGGAGGACTAGACTGGGTGAACAGAACCAATTAACATGTGCTGAGAAATAAGTAAGGCACTGAACAGATTAGGACCATCTACCTTTTGCTCTTTTTTCCCTGAATTGCAGAAGGACAACCTCTTCCAACCCTGGTGTTTACTAGACATTTTATACTGCAACTCCCAGTGCTCCCAACCACTAGCCATGTTTGCTAAGCCTGTTGGGATTTGAGATCCTGAACATCTAGAGGGTTTCAAATTGACAAAGGCAGGATAATAACTTTATCCACAGGGTAATAGCTGTCTGGCACAGAGAGTTCTACAGCTGAGTCTTGCTGCAAAACATACTTTCATATCTGATTAACAGAAAGAAAAAATGAAAATAGATTTTTAAATATGTTAGGATTTTCAAGTTGAAATTATTTACATGAAAAGTCAGCATATTTCTGACTTACCTAACCCTGGCAGTATTTTTGTATATGCATATTGAATTTCATACCTATTCTATGCATTTACTACTAATTTGTTATTAAATATCAGCCTCGTACTTGAGAGTATAAATTTGCATTACAAAGGTCCACAATTATGCAAAACGACTGGCCCAGTTGCTTAATTGATTTAATATATAACACAGGGAAAAGAATGATGAAGACTTTCTTGTTTTCTGTATTAGTTATAGTGGCTTATATTGAGAAATGTAGCCACAGCATGTAAGCACAGAATGGATGCTTTGAGAAGCTTCAACTGTGCTTCTTCTAAGTTTCCTCTAAGCTTTCTTTTACTTCTTCCAATAGTCTCCCATGGGGTTACAGAACAAGCTTGTCCTCTGGAAGTGAAATATGCTAATCATGTGATTCGTCACTAAGTGAATTAGCATTGCCTCTCATCATCTGGGCCATGTTTTCCCTTCAAAAGCCATGGCCCCTTGATAGAAAATAATGATTGTGTGATATACCTCATTAGAAAATCAATATATTGACACTAGTCTCCAAAACATCTGAATAATAATGGATTGTCTCCTCATTAACAAGACTATTAACAGGTACTTAAGCATCATTAAATCATATTGATCAGAGATTATTCATGCAGTAATTTTCTGGACAGCAAAAGACACTTAAAAATACTAACTTGGTGTTTAAAGAAAAAGGGTGAATTCAAGGGAGTGTCCAATTTGCCTTTAAGTAACTTAAATCTCTGGATAAATCCATAATAGGTAATTATTATTAATAAATAAATAAATAAACAAACCAACAGTTAATGACAAGGATGGCAGTGAGACAGGTTGTAGAGAACAGTTTAACTTACCAAAAAACTTCCAAAAGCAGAGTTAAATATAGCAGCTGCCTATAAAAAGAAGAAAAAATAGATGAATGATCATCTTGGTATTTACTTTATACAAAATTCTTTTCTTTTCATGTAACCTTCTAACTGGTCAGCAATATGACTTAAAACCTTTGCAAACAGGATATAAAAATAGTATATAAGGAAACAAGGAGGCTTCAAAAGTAGCAAAGCAAAACTATACCTTTTTCAGTCATATTTCTGAAATCCTTCCACAGAAAATAGAAGCAGAAAGACAATGCAATCTTAAGCATCATTTGTAGGAAGTAAGTCTCACTGTGCTCAATGAAACCTGCTTCTCAGTAAAATTGGTTAAAACTGTATTATTAATTTTACATGAGATGAAAACTATAGTAATTGAATATAGAAGTATAACACTTAATTGTCACAGCATTTCAGTTGACCCATATCCTAATACACATGAACCTTAAAGACCTATGCTACAAATTTTAACTGAACAATGTATTTTGAAAAATGCATTACACTATTTGTGGGGGGGGGGAGACAGAAAAACACTAATGTTGTTAATTCCATAGGCGAAGCCAGCAACTATAGACTGCAGTGAAGCCAATAACTGAGCAAATACAAGGAACTTTAGAGGAAAGTGTTTTGCTTACCTAAATATCCAAGAAATAATGATGAGAACAAGGATTAAGAATGAGTGAAGTTAATTCCGTAAGACATAAAAGTATCTCATTCTTGTAAAGCATTCCCCCTTTACCAAGAAAGGAGGAACTCTTGTATGGCATCCAGTCTGACAACACAGACCCATAGCAAAGGAAAGAGGGAAGTTGCGAGGCAGGGAGGGGTGAACCTGCCATTTACATGGAGAGCCAAGGCAGACTCAAATTAATCACAATGGACATCTTTCAGCCAAAGAGCAAAGATATTCGGAAGAGCTTGGCAGGTTTGAACCAAATCCAAAGCACAGGCTAAGCTGCAGCAGAACCTGCCTTCTGCTCTATAGCAAGAGTGGAGTGAGAGTGAATGGCTAATGAGATGCTTGGCTCCAGAGAGCTTAGCTTTCTTATTCAAGTTCATAATTAATTCAAAGCTTTGATAATTTCATTAGAGTCTTCCTTGGCTGGCCTTATCAATGAAAAAATAGCACTGGACCACAGCTTCTCAGTGGCCCAAACACAGAAGCAAGCAGAGGCTTCGAAGCCTTTGCCTGCCTGCTTGCTGGCTGGCTGGTTTGCTAGAGGACTAGGACAATGGCATATGGCATTCCATGTTGCAGAGGGAGCTTCCAAATAGAAATGGCTAAATAAAACATCATAGTTGACAGCTGTAAAACTACCACAACATATTTTAACACCTCAACTTCATCAACATTCTGCTTCAGAGCACAAGGGGAAAGCAATAATGCAAAGGACTTTCTTTGCCAACAGTCACAGCTAAAACAAGACCATACATTCTTTAACAACCAGGACTTCAGCGAGCAATTTTAAACAACAGTTTGAGGCTTGAGATTGACACACACCTCTGTGAAAACAATGCACACAATCAAGTTTTGGTTTATAAAGCTCTAAACGGTTTACAGTCATGATATCTGAGGAATCATCTTTCTCTTTATGGACCAGAAAGAGGCAAAAGTAAACCACTTCTGAGTACATTATTTCTAGAAAACCTTAGGAGTGTCATAGGGAGTGGGAACTGTCTTGATTGCACTTTATTACTGCCACCATCACCACTACTACCAAAATATTACCTTTCTCACTTCTCAGTTCTGCTGAAATGGACAAGCCTAGATGTTAGGAAGAAAGTCCTGAGAATTTGCAGAAATTCATGTTTACAAAATCCCTGAGTTTTTGTATTTCGGGTGTGGGAGAAGGTAGTTTCTATGGCAATTGTTTTAAATGATTCCAGTTGCTGAAAATAGCATGGGGAGAAGGACCTGGTCTTGTTTCCATATTCTTTTATTTTATTGCTGGTGTGTTTGATACTCTCCAAATTTTGCACTTTCTCTACTTTTGAGGTTGCTTGTTGATGAAAATCCAACTTCTATACAGTATTTTTATCCAGAAGTACAACCCGTAGATTATCAAAATCAACTGTTTTGTCTGTGATAATATGCATGCCCCAGTATAGTACTGTGGTTTCATTTTCTAAAACTGTAGATAGCTGGCAGTTATGCATGGAAGAAGAAATGTCACTAATCCATAAGCTTTAGCCAAGTGCTGAAAAATGACCTTTGCAACATAGTTATGCCTACACAACTGTTGATGCTTATTTAGGACATCTAGCCAGAACATGATGAATTGTTTCTTTGGATTCCTGACAAGCCCTACATATATCACTTATAATTTGCTTCATAATTATTTTCTGAGTCTCTAGTGTAAATAACCTGGTCTTGGATTGCACATACAAATCCCTCAGTTTCAGCCTTAAAACAGTCTAATTTAAAACACAGATTTGATTCCTAGTTATTCCATTTCCTCTCCTCCTCCTTCGATTATTATTAGTACTATTCTTTGCAATCATCTCCCTGAGTTTACTTCCAGATGTTTCTACTTTCAGAGGTTAGAAAAGTAGCAAATGACAACGAGGTTTTTTAAGAGTGCCACCCTTGTTTGCAGAACAAAATCCCAGAATCCCAGCCTGGATGAAGGCAAGGCCTGGAACGTGTGAAGAGGGGGAAGGACTTGCAGCCAGGTACTAAGGCACTTAAATGTGATATCAATTCTGGACAGCTGTTTGAACTTCAGCATGGAAGTTAAGCTATTGCTGCCACTGGTTTTTTTTGTTTGTTTGTTTGTTTGTTTGTTTCAAGTGGAAGTGAGCATAGCTTGACTGACTGGACTCTTAAGGCTCAAGAGTCACTTCACTGAATTTAAGGACAGCCTTGCTCACTTTTGAATTCAACTGTATTTAAATAGACAAATAACCAAAGACCTCAGGGGGAAGGAATAGCACAACATACCTCCAGGGATGGATGAGAACATCTGGCTTCTATCTATTAAGATGTAGTAATAGCAATAGCAGGAACACTGGTGGCAGCAATAACAACAACCTGGAAGGGACTCTATGGATCATCCAGTTCAGCCCCTCTCAAGGAGGCATAGTGGTTAGAAAAGACATCCTCTGGCCCTGCAGTCAGAGACCTAAACCACAGAGCTATCCAGCAGCTCGTAGGACTTATCCACAGAATCTGTGTGGTTATGGCCACTTTATTGGGAGGTATTTTGAGGAGTAATTCTGCTAGATGTAGCTATATGAAGTTTGTAATTTCTAACTCACCGTCTCTCAGATGTATAGTTTTAACCCATGAACCAGAGTTAAAAGGCAAAAATAGAAACTTTGCACTGAGAGAGTTCTGGGGTATTATCTGACCCTATTAGATCTCTAATGCACTTAAGCTTAGCAGTAGGGCTGGCACTCAGCTAAGGATCAGGGAGATGGGTTTTCTGTACATTTCCTATATTTCTTGAAGCTGTTGATAATTCAGAAACTCTCTTTCTCACCCCCATTGACCCCAACAAGGTGTTGACCTACTAAGAATGAGGCTAGCCAAGCTTGGCCCCAGGTTTTGCTCCTCTTACATTGTACAGCAGCATGCAAAAGAGAGGAGGCCAATACTTCTCTATTTTGGTAACAGGGTCTGGGGATGGATCTGAATTAAAACCAGAAAGGTGTTTAGCTCAAGGGGTGGACAAAGTGTAGACTTCCAGATATTGCTGGGCTACAGTTCACAGCATTCCATATTATTGGTAGTGCTGGCTATGGCTGATTCGGCCTTCTGTGAATAACATCTGGAAGGACACACTGCGCCCACCACAATTCACCTTGTCAATGAGCAGCGGGCATACCCTGATTTGTTATTGCTGACCACCAAACAATTTAGCTAACAAAGGGGAAAGACCCATAAGGAACTCTACAAACTCTGAAGGTTTCAGAAACCAGCATTATTGATTGTTAACGGTCAATATGAGGGATGAATATTTACTGTTGACTGAGGATCAGTTATGCTGAATGTTATTTAAATTTTCAAATACAACTATGTATAAATGTTGCTAAAATTAATTCTGCCTCAGGTTTACTACTGACAAATTGCTACACATACATATGCTATTGTTAACAATATGGTGCCACATTCGTACTAGAAGTCAACTTTTAAAAGATAACACAATATGATACTGAAAGGCAAAAATAGAAACTTTGCACTGAGAGAGTTCTGGAATATTATCTGACCCTATGGGTGATTGAGTCCCGCTCCTGTCAAGAAGGCATAGTGGGGATTCAAACCTCCCAACCTCTGGCTCCACAACCAGATGCCTAAAATACTGAGCACACTAAAGATTCTATATAAACAGTATTCAGAATGTGTGAGACGCGTCTATTATTTCTTTATCAGTTTAATAAGTGTTTTACAATTGAAATGGAATGGAAAGAAACCACACTAACAGAGTGGTCAGTGGAGACAGTACTAAAAAGTTCAGTGTGAAGGAACAATGGAATAGGAAAAAGAAGATTTCCGTATCTTTCGGACGTTTTGACTTCCATAACAATTCTCTACTGGAAATAAAAGGAGATAAGAGTGCAGACCACCAGAAAGTAGCAACTTGACTACAGAGTCACAAGAGCAGGACAAAGGCAGGGCCATAGTGGGTACTTTGTAGTTGGGAGTTCATAGCATGTCCTCTTCCCTTTGTAGGTCAAGAGAAAGTACTACAGCCTTAATGCAATGGTGTGCAACATTTCCACCAGCAGAAGCCAATGATGTGAAGGGAAAGCATGTAAATACTGTACATAAAGTTGCAGTGGCAGACCACAGATAAAATCTGCCATACACAGGTGGAGGGGAGAGGACACCAAACCAATAGCTGGCCACCAATTTGTGGTGTCCACTATGTATTTAGTGTAGTACCTAATTTAACCCTAAACAGCAAATCCAAAATCTTAGAGGAGTTTTGTCTCTAAACACATTAGACATCCCTTCATTTTGTGTATTCGTTCTGCAGTAAAATGTATCACTATCCCGATTTACCTCTTAACATGGGTTT